TGCCAGATAGCCTCGCCGATGACGATTTGACCTCCAGGCTTTGGCCGCGAGGCCAGAGAAGTGTCTAACAGACCTCCCGCACAGTATCGGTACCTCCTAGGCCTTTGGCAGCGCCTGGATCAATGATGATGCCCAATCGTCTGTCACCGCGCACGGTGTGATATGCCATCGTGTTGCCATCCATTGGATCATCGTCCTCATGAAACATATGCTGGCTCAACAGCGCTGTGTGCATGATATCTGCAAGTGAGCCTTTCGTCGGTGATCCGATTGGTGCATTCGTCGATGTCGGCGGTGGAGTGGATGAACGTCCCATGAGATCTTCCTCATCATCATTTGCTGCAGGTTTATTTGTCCGTTGGGGAAAGTCAAAAAGAAATCTCGATGTCGCGGGTGCCGAGGATGTCTTCGAGTCGCCGGCATTGCCTTGTCCAGCCGGTGATGCAGGCTGTTCAGCCTGAAGTCGAACAGGCGTCTCGGCGATCGGGTCAAGGAGCGATACCTTCGGCTTGATCTCTGCTTTACCATTTTTGCCTCCTCTGCCTTTGTTGCCACCTTTCTGCGATGGCTCGTCATCCTCGTGATCCAGGTAGTGCTCGTCATACATGCCGTCATCATCCTTGTCAATGCGGTACTCAGGGCAGTCGTAATAGACAGAGGATTCGTCAGCAATGTCCGTGGGAAAAGGTGAGGGTGGCATATCCCACGAACCTCCACTCGATGACATTGAAGGTGCCGACTGCGACCGCTTCGTTGGTAGATCTTCGTACGCATGGAGATTGATCCGCAGGTCGTTGTCGCCCGTGTTCACTGAGTGAAACGAGGTTGTCGACAAACCATGTCCCATCGCGAAGCCATGTCCAGTCTTCTCCTGGGGTGCTTGAGGCTGATTCCTGTTTGCCGGGCAGTCCTGGCTCTTGCGCCACTTGGATCCGCAAGTGCTGCATCCGCTACCTTTACCGACATCGTTGTTGCCAGAACTGCTATGCTTACCCTTTTTGCCTTTTCCGCCTTCGTCACCCCAGTGTCTTGCGTCGGCTTGCTCCTCAAAGTGCTGCTTGTTTCATCGTCCTTTGCCTCTGCCACAACGACCTCTTGATTTGCCTCGTCCATTAGATTTGCCGTTGCCGCTACGTCCTTTGCCTTTCCGTCGATAGCCTCCGAACCGATAGCGAGGTCGAAAGCCTGACATCTGGCACGCCTGATAGGTCCATCTCAGTCAGCCACGCCTCGATCTCGTCAGCCTCGTACCAGATTCCGTCGTCGTCATATGCTCCATACGATGCTTCGCCAGATTCCGTCCAGTTTTCTCGGTCATGTAAATCACTCTCCTCGTCATGGGTCCAATGTATGAGGCTCTCGCCGTCTTCGTCGTAGTCCTGATAGTATTCGAGAACATGCTGGGCTTCTTCTTCGTCGTCTACGTAGTGGCCCTGGCGAGAAGTTCCTGATACCATCTCCTGTTTAGCAATATGTGTCAACATAGAACACACCGTCTGAAACTTATCAAGATCTCCATCGATATGCAATTATATGTCACTGATACGTCGTTGAGGCAAGCCACACCACTTGAACAAAATAAGGCCCGCCTTATCATTTGCTTCCTGATATCTCTCTCTGAAATTGAGCAAGAACTCCTGCAACGATTGATTGCCACGTCTCGTGTCTAATCAAGATGCTCTCCTTGCTTATCCTGATCGTGAATCTCGAAAGCTTCCGTCAATTTCTGCATGGGATGTCCTGCTCCAGTAATGCTGGCCTCCTGAATGACTGTGCCATGTGCGTCTCGCTCTTCTTCAAGTCGTGGTAGGGCCAGCGCACCATCTCCCTTTATTGCAGCTCCATTCCGAGTAACCTCTAGAGTCATCGCGATGGTGAAGGCTCTATCCAACAGCGTGCCGCCATAGCAGGTCCTGCTTCTCGTTCATCCAGCGGCGTCAGCCGCCACCACAGGTGTAATCTCTGCTTATAGGCCTTGAAGGGATAAGTATCATCAGATGGCTTCCAACCAGGCGGCACAGTCGTGTGAACTCCTGCAACGATTGAGGTGCCTTGTAGTCTGCCATGGCCGCAAGATATATCACAATGCCCAAGGTATACGAAACCCAAGTCTTGCTTTTGCTTGACCTGATCGTCCGGTGGTGAAGTGATACTCCACGAGAGACGTCGCCTGGTAGACCACCAGGCCGGGTATTGGGTACTGTAGCTTCGCTCTTGAAGATGCTGATCCTCGCAGTGAAGGTGTGCACGGAGTCGCGCAGCAGCTGCTCGAGGCCGAGGATCGTGCTCCTCGAATATTGCGCCGCCTGGCGGGGCGCCGCGCGCGCGTGGGACGCGCGCGGAGGGTATTGGAGCCTTAGCTCTGCTACCGAACTGAGATGTTTGTAGCTAGCGAACCCGCATCCTTGGGCATTAGTATGGGTTACAGTCCGAACATGCTTGCTTCTACAAACCTGCTGTGCTATACATTTCTGAACAGATACTACACTTGATCTTAGTCAAGGGGGTCTCTCACACATGAAATCTCACTCCCTCCTCCCTTCCTTCCTCCTCCCCTCCTCCCTACACCGCCCGCGTGCGTCACGCACGCCCAATTTGGCACACCCTTCACACGTTTCGTGGCCCCATAGGGAGCTCCACCAGAGGCCCCAGTGCCACCGCCCGCATGCGTCAGCACACCCCTCAAACGTTTCATGGCCCCATAAAAGGGGGCTCCACCGACGGCCCCAGTGCCACCGCCCGCGCGCGTCACGCACACCCAAGTCGGCTCTCCTCCCACGTGTCGTGGCCCCATAGGGAGCTCCACCGAAGGCAGCCACTGGGGCTGTCGGTGGAATTCCCTATGGGGTCACGAAGCGCGTGAGAGGTGTGCCGAAATAGGTGCGGTGGGCGCATGCGAACGCAGCCATTGGGGCTGTCGGTGGAGCTCGCTATGGTACCGCGAAGCGTATGATGGGTGTGCCGAAATGGGTGCGGTGGTCGCGTGCGAACGCAGCCACTGGGGCTGTCGGTGGAATTCCCTATGGGCCCACGAAGCGCGTGGGAGGTGTGTCGAAATAGGTGCGGTGGGCGCATGCGAACACAACCATTGGGGCTGTCGGTGGAGCTCGCTATGGTGCCGCGAAACGTATGATGGGTGTACCGAAATGGGTGCGGCGGGCGCATGTGAACGCAGCCACTGGCGCCTTCGGTGGAGCTCCCTGTGGGGCCACGATAAGTGTGAGGGGTGTGCCGAAATGGGCGTGCGTGACGCATGCGGGCGGTGGCACTGGGGCCTTCGGTGAAGCTCCGTTTGGGGCCGCGAAACGTGTGATGAGAGCCGAATTGCTGGGTGTGCGTGACGCATGCGGGCGGAGGCGCCCGGGTCTTCGGTGGAGCTCCGTATGGGGCCACGGAGCGTGTGAGGGGTGTGCCGAAATGGGTGTGCGTGACGCCTGCGGGCGGTGGCACGGGGGCCTTCGGTGGAGTTCCGTTTGGGGCCACGAAGCGTCTGAGGGGTGTACCGAAATTGGTGTGCGTGACGCATGCGGCGGTTGCACTGCGGCCTTCGGTGGAGCTCCCCATGGGGCCACGAAACGTGTGAAGGGTGTGCCAAATTGGGCGTGCGTGACGCACGCGGGCGGTGTAGGGAGGAGGGGAGGAGGAAGGAAGGGAGGAGGGAGTGAGATTTCATGTGTGATTTCATGTGTCGAATTGGGTGTGCGGGACGCATGCGGGCGGAGGCTTTGGGGCCTTCGGTGGAGCTCCCTAGGGGGCCACGATACGAGTGAGGGGTGTGCCGAAATGGGTGTGCGTGACGCATGCGGGCGGTGCCGCTGGGGTCTTCGGTGGAGCTCCCTGTGAGGCCACGAAACGTGTGAGGGGTGTGCCGAAATGGGTGTGCGTGACGCATGTGGGCGGTGGCGCTGGGGCCTTCGGTGGAGCTCCCTATGGGGCCACGACGCGTGTGAAGAGAGCCGACTTGGGTGTGCGTGACGCATGCGGGCGGTGGCACTGGGGCCTTCGGTGGAGCTCCCTATGGGGCCACGAAACGTGTGAGGGGTGTGCCGAAATGGGTGTGCGTGACGCATGCGGGCGGTGGTACTGGGGCCTTCGGTGGAGTTCCGTATGGGACCACGAAGCGTGGGAGGGGTGTGCCGACATGGTTCTGCGTGACGCCTGCGGGCGGTGCAGGAAGGAGGGAAGGAGGACGGAAGCAAGGAAGGAGGGAGGGAGGGAACGCGGGGACCGTCTTCAAAACGAGGACCCAACACCACAGGATGGTTTGGATAGACAACTCAGAATGAAACATCGGCCCAGGGGAATTGGTCGAGACATCTGAGGGTCGACGTTTTGAGCAAATCATGACATCGGGGGTCTGTGGATAGAGCTCTGAGCGCATCCCAGAGTCGGAGGGGGCTCGCCTCCCCCTCGGCTCCCCCCAAGGGGGCGTCGCCGACCGATGCCTTTCACCGAACGATTCTCTTTCCTCTGTCCGCCGCCGCAGAGGTCTTGAGCCCTTCCCCGGGACCGGTTTTTCATCCTAAGCCGTTTTCTGACGGTCCCGAGGCCCAGGGAAGGCTCCCGGAGGCCGAAAAATAGGCGATCGCAAACATGGGTCAAGGGGGCGTGGATTAGCGACGGGTCCCGTTCCCATGGGAAATCGCGGATTTCCGCCGCCGAGCGAGGCGGCATTGGCTGCATTTTGGGGAGGGCGCCTCCCCCGATCCATGGATTCGGCGACCGCGCGCCAGACCCATGGATCGCTAATCCATGTCTGCGCGCCCCCGAGACAAGGGCGACGAACCTCCCGCCGTGCTCTGGTCGCAGCGCGAGGGGGTCCTGGATCCTGGGCCCCGCAGCGGTGCGGTGCGCAGGCCCTCCTCCTCCTCCTCCTCCTCCTCCTCCTCCTCCTCCTCCTCCTCCTCCTCCTCCTCCTCCTCCTCCTCCTCCTCCTCCTCCTCCTCCTCCTCCTCCCCCCCCCCCGTGGGCGGGAGAGGGGGGCCCTCCTGGGCGGCCAGGCGCGCGCGGCGCAGCTGGGGCTGCTGCGGCGGCTCCGGCTGGACCCGTGCCCCGCTCGGGGGCCGCTCCCGGTGGCCTCGCCGCCGCCCCCCGGCTCGTCGAGGACGGAGGCTCCATCGATCGATCCGTGGATCGATCCATCGATCGGTCCATCGATCGAGGATGGAGGATCTATCGATCGACCCATCGATCGATCCATCGACCCATCGATCGAGGACCCATGATCCGTCGATCGACCCGTCGATCGAGGATCGAGGATCCAGCGATCGATCCGTCCATCGGTCGATCGATCCATCGATCCGTCGATCGGTCGAGGATCGAGGATCCGTCGATCGGTGCATCGGGGCTCGTCGCCGTGAGGGGGGCGGGCCCCGAGGGGAGCGGGGCCCCGGGCTTCCCCCGCGGGTTTCTCGGCTTCCCCGACGGCCCCCCCGACGGCCCCTGGGGCCCTGCCAGGAAGTGGCTCAGTGTTCGAGTAGGGGATCGGCTGCAGAATTGATTTACCCAAACTGTGTTTTCCCGTGTATGTATGTATGTATGTATGTATGTATGTATGTATGTATGTATGTATGTATGTATGCATGTATGTATGTATGTATGTATGTATGCATGCATGTATGCATGCACGTATGTATGTATGTATTTATGCATGCATGCATGCATGCATGCATGTATATATATGTATATGTGTGTGTATGTCTGCATGCATGCATGTATGTATGTATGCATGCACGTATGTATGTATGTATGTATGTATGTATGTATGCATGTATGTATGCATGTATATATTTATGTATATATGTATGTATGCATACATGTATGTATGTAATGCATGTATGCATGTATGTATGTATGTATGTATGCATGCATGCATGCATGCATGTATATATGTATGTATTTGCGTGCATGTTTATATGTATGCATACATGCATGCATGCATGCATGTTATGTATATATGTATGTATGCACGTATGTATGTATGTAGGCATGTATGTATGTATGCATGTATGTACGTATGCATGCATGTATGTGTGCATGTATGTATGTATCTACGTATGTATGTATGTATGTCTGTATGTATATATATATATAGTTATACGTATATGCGTGTATCTATGCATGTTTACACATATACATATATACGTATGCATGCATGCATGCATGCATGTATGTATGTATGTATGTATGTATGTATGTATGTATGTATGTATGTATGTCTGTATATGTATGTATGTATGTATGTATGTATGTATGTATGTATGTCTGTATGTGTGTATGTATGTATGTATGTATGTATGTATGTATGTATTTATGTGTGCATGCATGCATGCATGCATGCATGCATGCATGCATGTATGTATGTATGTATGTATGTATGTATGTATGTATGTATGCATGTATGTATGCATGTTTGTATATAAGTGTATTTCGATGAGATGGCCAAATATTCAGAATGCTCCGAGAAGTGGCTCAACATTCCCAGACATGGGCTTAGAATTCTCGCAGAAATGGCCAGATCATCAGAATTCTCAGTAGATGTAAGAATCCCTCGTAGATTCGATAGGGGAAAATCAAAGTTTGGGGTACATGGATTCTGGAGTCGATCCCTTCCCTACTCGAAGGAGGAAGGGCTGGTCCCAGGGGAAGGCCCTGGGGTCCAGGACTCGGGTGCGGCCAGAAGGAGGGTGATGACTAGGGGGCTGAATATCATGGCGGGAGGCTTGATTTTTCCACACATTGAATGGCGCCTCTTCTCATCTCAATGCGTCCCCTGGCCCCCCCCTCAGGCCGCGCACATGCCGCCGGCCATGATTTGCGGCACCCCCCTCTTGGACGCCCCCGAGGAGGAGGAGGAGGAGGAGGAGGAGGAGGAGGAGGAGGAGGAGGAGGAGGAGGAGGAGGAGGACCCTCAGGGCCCGTCTTCTTCCTGCCGAGCTTTGCCCGTCGATCGATCGGCCGAGGGCCGAGCTCTCTCGAGGGCCGCCGGATCGAGGACCGATCGCGCGAGGCCCGCCTCGGGGTCGTCGAGGCCCGCTGCTGGCCCCGCGGCCGTCGGAAGTCGCTGCGGGGATGAAGTCAGGAGGGGAACCAAAGCTAGTTCCGTGAGCGGCGAGGCGGCGAAGTCCGCACCAGCGTAACAGCTAGGTAGGGGCACTAACTGGCGAATTGGCCGGCGACCACGAAGAGGGGGGGGACGGCCGAGAGGAAGGAGGGACGCTCAGACGCCGAATAATTCGACGATGAGCAGCCGGGGGGGGCGGCAGCAGCCAGGCGCGCAGGGCCAGAGCGCGGTGGGCGGCCGTGGCGAACCATGGGGGGAAATGTTGGCGTGGAGTGGCACACAGCCAGGGGCTGGGGGAGCGCAGGGGACGCCGTGTGCGAGGGGGAAAACCACACACAGACACAATGAATCGTCGACTCCCAGGAGGACAGTTCTGGGGACGAAAGCCTAGGATATATATATATATATAGATCAGAGTGAGAGGGCTGAACCGAACGGTCATTCACTGTCCCTGGGTGCGTGGCTGAAGTGGAATTCCGCGATG